AGAAGCTTGAAGCTCAGGAGAGCCTGGAGTGTAAGCGAGGACTCGCGGACGGGCTGTAGACCGAACATGAACTTGTCAACTCAGCTCAGTATCACCAGATCTAGTGAGCATGTTCTAAAGCCCTAAAAGACAATTTGGTGACTTTAGGATAAAAGCTGGAAGTTCTCCTTGATATGCTAGTTGGGGAATTTGGGCCCCTTGATCTCCTGAAAGCTATGGGTTGACAATATCTTCTATAAGAGTTGAAATAAACCCATGCCTGACAGCTGGCTGGAGGCTGTTGAGAGAGTTGAGCAGTGGGAGTGAGCCTCCTACCCACTGCAGGCATGTTTCCCAACACCAAGCTGCTGCTTTTTCGGTCAATGGGATCTGAGGAGTAGCAAGAGAGGCTGAGATCAGCAGGGGGAGGACAAATGTGTTCTGAAGAGGTCTCTTCCTCCCAGCTCGGGGAGCTTGGCAACGTGTTGCTTTCCTGGGATGGCTGATCCATGATATGACACCTTTAAGGCATGCCAGGATCTTAGGGGTCATTGTGTCCTCTCTCATTTTATAGATGTGCTTCTCAGCGGCTGCCCAGAGAAGGTAGTTACTTCTGTAGGGTTGTAGCAGAGCTGGGTCTAGAACCCAGTCTCTGCCTCCTGGCCCAGGGACTCCAGGCCACAGCTGGGATAGCTCCACAGTTCTGCGCCTGGCTCCCCACGGGAAGTGGGTGGGGCAGCGGGGGGGCGGTGTTTGTCCATTCATAACATGGCCCAAAGTGCACGGCCCATTGTTTGAAACCCAAGGACCTGATGTTCCAAGCTGAAAGACTTTCCCTAGATGCCACAGGTAGGACAGGTGGTCTACCTTCTTGCTCCAAGCCACATCAAACGGGAGCCTGGTCCTCTTCCCAGGAATTTCCAGCCGAGTCTGCATTCAGGGTGAGGGTGGGGGAAATGGACTGTTGCTGTCTCCCATAGCACCCCCTTTTTTGTGACCTTCACACATCATTGTTTAATAAGCTGTTTCGTCCTGGTGGCTCTGGGTCCCACAAGAATCCCTGTCTGGACTCCTCTTCCTCCTTTTTCCTGTTCTCATCTGTACTGGCCTGACTCAGGGTCCGAGATACCAACTTCCTGCTTACCTCCCCAGCTCCCTCTCCCACAGTACAATACTATCCTTCTTTGCCTTCCGCCTCCTTTCCCCAATTCCAGTCGGGGTACGTAGTCTTTGATCAGGTGGTTTCTTGCCCCTGGAGTGATCTTTTCACATCCCTTCTACTTGGAACTCTTGACTCAAATGCCCCCTCCTTCATGAAGCCTTCTGTGAGCCTTTGTTATGGATTAACAGCTCTACTGGGCTCCCACTACGTAGTGTCCCCCCACCCCCCCCCCACCAATGAGCACTTCATGCCCATTTAGAACCTCTGAATGTGACCTCATTTGGAAATAGGGTTTTTGGAGTTGTAATTAGTTAAGCCTCATTACTGGTTGAGGCTTCATTACCCATTGACTGGTATCCTTATAAGGAGAGGACAGGACATAGAGTTGGACAGAGACAGAGGTTAAGGCCCCATGAGGAGGCAGAGACTGGAGAGGTGCCACCACAAGCCAAGGGACACCAGGAGCTACAAATTGGAAGCAGCAAGGAAGGAGTCTCCCGTCGAGTCCTTAAAGGGAGCAGGGCCCTGATAACACCTGGATTTCAGACTTCTGGCTTCTGTCACTCAGCGCAAATTCCTATTCTAAGTCATCAAGTTAGTGGTAATTTGTTACGCGGCCAGAAGGAACGAATATATACTATAATTTGTGCCTTGACTCCGAGCACCCAGCCATGTCTCTGGGTCTTTATTCATCTTTGTTGTACCCACTCACCCCCCCACCCCCTCCACGCCTAGAGCTGTGCCAAACACCTGACAGACACCTCAAGCAGGTTCGGTGAACTAGCCGGTCATTGTGGCATCGATGGGCCTGGGCCTGCCCCAGCGTCAGGGATGGGAAGGAGGTAGGACTTGCTGAACAGATGGGACAGGAGAACAGGACTCACAAGTCTACATAAAGGGCTAGTTCCTGGCTAGCTGCTTTAGGAACAAGGCTCTCGACCCACATATTGTAAACTCAGTAACAGCCAAGCAGATGCAACTCTCAGGCAGCTCTCCTACTTCCTCCCGGAAGTGAAGGGGTCCCTGAGTCCCGGCGGCACGCTTCCTTCATGTTTGGACTTGGCCCTCATCTGTTGCCCCTGCCTCCACGGGTCTGCAATCACAGCACAGGACTTCAGTCTAGCCACTTGCCTCATGCTGGAGCAAAAGCTATAAAAGCCACTTCGAATACCATAGTCCACTTCTCCTCCTCCCAGGGGCCCCTGCTAAAACCCAGTCAAAGTCAAAGTCTTTGGAGGCTGTGCCAGCTGACTAGCAGCTAGCCAGGAGCCTTGAGGGGAAGAGGGATGGGCCCAAGCTCTGTGAATGCTTTTGTGGGAGGAATTCCAGGGGAGCACAGAAAATTAAAAAAAAAAAAAAAAAAAAGAGTGTAGTGGGAATAACCCAGCAGCAACCTTCCCCTTGGAGACCCTAACCATGGCTGGCCCTGCCTCGGTTAACTCCGTATGTTGTGGGTAAGGACAGATGTCTCCAGGTGAGGCACTTTCCAACTCCCGGGGCCTTTGTGTCCCTTTAAGAAAAATCCTCCTTTGGGTCACCTTTGCAGCCTAAGGCACACTCCCACCCACAAATATTGCCAAAGGTCATTATGGGAAACTGGGTTGTCACACTTTCCTCTTCTGGATACGCCAATCTGTTGGCAGAGGCTCTGGTCTTCCTTCCTTCTTTCCCTTTTGGGGTCCTTCCCCCTCCAGATCCAATCCCACCCAAATCCAGGTTGGTAGGGCTCTCAGATGCAGCCCTCAACTCCCCACTCCACAACGAAGAGCCCTCTGTCCCCAAGCCCAATGGGCCCCCAAACACTCCTGGCTTGGGATTGTCCCAGGGCCCTCTCCCACTAGCCCCAGATGGACTCAGGCAGATTCCAAATTCCCCACCGTGGCAGCAAGTGGAGGGCTCATTAAAAAGTAGCTTTAGTAATTGGTCAGACAGTTATGAGTTATAGGGAGCACTCTAGTTCATCCTGAGGGCTGATGACTAAACCCAGCATGGATGGCACTGGAAGTTTCACAGGCCCCCATGGATCCCATTTCTGGTGACCCGATATCAGTTTAAGACATATTTCTCATTGGCCCTGAGTTTATTCCCTGGAAGAGGATGTCCATTCCAAGTCAGGTGGGACACAGCTCCCAGTCCATGAACTTGCAGGGTGCCACTTGGCACTATTTTACTAACCGCCACCCCCCCGCCCCCCAGCCCTCGCCGCTGCCAATGCCATATACTTCTTTAATTTAGGATTGTTTATAGTCAGTCAAGTTTTTCCAGATTGACTAAAAGAGTTCTTCGTAAGCCTACTGCAGCCAGTTACAAAAGCAGTAAAAGAGACCAGGACTTGGGCCAGCTGGAAGAGTCGGAAGAAAGTTTCTGCGGGATGCAGACAGCTAAGGAATGACAATCACACGCGACTGTCCCAAACCTCACATACCCCTACAAGGACACCTCCTGACCCCCCTCCACAAAGGGCTTTGGGAGCCCTCCGACGGGGCATCACCCCAAGGAAATGAAACTGCTGAGAACAACTCTTACTTCTCCTTTTTCAGTGTGTCCAAGGGTTAAAAACACTTCCGAACTACCCTTCCAACTGCAAGGTCAAGCAGCTGTCCAAACCACCCAAGGAGAAGCAGGACCCAGGGACAAGCAGACTCCAGCTAGCAAGGCCACCACGATCCTCCCCTCCCCCACACTGGCCCGGCAGGGGAAGAGTTAATCTGCCATGGCTTTGGCTGATAGTTCAGGCTCCAAAGTTCAGTCCCAGTCTGAGCCACCCCGGAGGAATTGTAAATCTCAGGGCAGTATTTAACAAAACAAAAGCAACCTGGAATTACAGGCAGGTTTGCTATCCTACAGTACATATTTACTTAATCCCCTAGGTATGTGGCTCCATGTCAGATCAGCTGGCTTTGCTGGCCCTTTCACCCCCACCCCCACCCCCCAACAAGTTTCAAACTAATTCCCTGTTTTTGCTCTTCCTCCTCACAGGGCCAGCCTGCCAGCCTCCAATCTTTCTCTCCTTTGCTCTAGTCACCGGGTGAGTCAGCCTGGCTTGGGTCAGAGTTGGGTGACAGCCGGCTCACCCTCCCCACTCTCAGGCACCAGGTCTGGGAAAACCAGAGGAAGAGATGCTGTAACCACCAAAAAGCTAAAGGCAGCCCTGGGGAAGGAGGGCCCTCCCCACAGTGCCACCTCATTTAATGGGGAGGGATCCCCTCTGGGGCTGTATCTGGGGGGAGGGGGCAGGGTTGAAGGTGAGAACAAGGACTCTTTATCAGCTGCTGGTTACCCCTGTCACCCTCTTTCTAGATTTCCAAACACCTGGGCGTGGGAGAGCTTGTCCCGCGGGCTAGACATCCAAGACCGCTCCCCCCTCTCAAACCCAAACCAAGTATCCCCTCTCTTCGTGCCTCCAGAGCTGCAGCCGCCCAGGTTGGGGCTGGGAAGCGGGTTGCCAAGGAAAATACGAAGCCAGCTAGCAGGCGGCTCCCAGCTCTACCCAGGAGCGCACACACCCTGCACTCACCAGGGTGGTGGCAATGGGGGGAAGGCAAAGGGGGAAAAACACAACACCTTCCTTTGGGAGGGAGGAATGTGGGGAATGGGTGGGTCTCCTCGGTTTCGGGGTGGGGGTGAACGGCCAGACAGCCACCGACCCCAAAGGAGCAGACCAGCTCCCGACCTGCCAAAAAAGACAGCCTGGTGCCCGGGAAATTTACAAGGTGAAACTGACTAGCTCAGCACTCGCGGGTGGCGCCGAGAAGTAGGGTGGCCGGCGACTCTCCCGGGCGCTGGTTCCGGCTGCGGCAGCAGGTGGGCGTCCCCCTCACCTTCAGCCCCCACCCCGTGGAGTCGCAGTGCCCGGTACCTTTCTGGCGCCGCGTTCTGCGAACTCGCGAGCGAGCTGGCGCCCGATGCCTCTCCCGCCTCCCGTGATGAGGACGTTCTCCCGCGACAGGTCCCGCAGCTTGGCGGGCAGCACCAGTCCGACGGCTGCTTTGGCCACCAGATAGATCATCTGCAGAGGGAACACCACCAACGCGCCCAGCCGTTTCCACACCATCCTCCGCGCCGCGGAGCCGGGCAGGGGGGCGAAACTCCCCGGACCGAGCAAAACAGGAATTAAAAAAGAAAACACCCCAAACAATAATAAATAAACCGAATTAAGGGGGGAGGCGTCCCACCTGGCCACTCTTGAAATCACCTCTTCCCAAATGCAAAACACCGGGTGAGGAAAAAAAAAAAAGATAAATCCTCCTCGGGAGGAGAAAAAGCGTCTGAGAAGGTTGGGACAGTAAGAGGGCTGGAGGGGAAGCCGGAGGTGGAAAGTTCTAACAAGAAGTTTCTTGCCCCAGCAGTCGTTTCGGCTGGGGAATTCTCAGGTAATGTTTACAGGCTGACAGAGGAGTTTAGGCAGGGGGGGAAAAAAGGCACCAACCACACGCGCGCACCCTGCTACAGTCCCGCGGATTCAAAGTGCAAGATTTAAAAAAAAAAAAAAAAATGCCGTTTCCAAATTGTAGCGCCCCCCCACCCCTTCTCCAGGAAAAAAAAAAAAGTGGTGGGGGGAGAGTGCTTGGAGCTCCCAATTTCAGCCCGCGAAAGTCTCCCGACTCATTGCTATTCTTGGGCTCAGGAAATTGCTTAAACGCGATCTGATTGCCAGCAACGTGCAGGAGAAGTGGGGGGTCCGGGTGTCAGTTTCTTTACGTGCATGGCTCGCCCTCGCGCGCGCTCGCTCTCTCCGGCTCTCGCCCTCCCTCTCCCAGCAGAGGCCGGGAGTTGCCGCTCGATCCGGCTCCCTTTCTCTCCCTTGTTAGCATTTATTGCCTTCTTTTTGTCCTTTCCAACTTGGAGAGGGCCCGGGTGCGGAGCGCGTGTGGATCGGACGCCCTCGTCAGCGCCGCCTTACTCATTCGCTCCTGGGGCAGCAGCCGCACGGAGCGAGAGGGCTGCCCTTTCCTCCCCCCTCCCCATTTTTTTTTTTAATACCCCATTAAGTCTGATTGACAGTTAAAGTTGTTCGGAGGCTTCACTACCGTTCCTCTGAGTGGCTGCCGCGGCCTCCCCTCCCCCTGCGCAGTGCGGGGCGCGCGCGCGGGCGCGCACACGGGCTCGCTCCGACTCGCGCTCTCCTCGGCTGGCTCCCCTCTCTGCAAGCCGGGACTTGCCCGCGGTGTCCCTGAGGGCTCGCAGCAGTAACTCGAACACGCTGGAACCGACTCCTGCGAACCGGCTCCCTCCCCGAGACAGTCCTCCTAGCCCGGGCCGCAGTCTCCCGGAGCTGGGGCGCCCACCGTCCAGGTGGCGGGTCCTGCGCTCGGGGCAGGCCCGGGGGAGCTCGCGCACGCTTTGATCCAACCAGGTCGACCCGGGGTTATTTCAGGCTATTTGGTCACCCCCTGCCTCCAGGTAGGACCAGGAAACCACTCCCGCCCTTTGCCCGGACGCCTTCTGTCTTCACTTAGAGTGCACTCTCTTAGTCTGCCCTGGTCCTTCTTGTTCCGGGGCGGGGGGGGGGGGGGGCAACTGGGGAGCAGGATTTTGCTTTGAGAGGTGGGGGTGAGCCAGGTGAAGGAACTTCTGCCCCCAAGGTGCCAATAAAATCCCCATAAGATTATCTGGGAGCATATTTATTGCTCATCTAGGGTAGAATTACCTTGACTGACAGCAATTTCTTTAATAACAAAAGCCTGTAAACAAGATGCCCTGGGCGGGAGCCCCCTGCTTCCTGCAGGCAGCGACTTCTGTCTTTGGGTCTCCTTGGGCTGCCCTAGCCTGCACCCACCTTTTCTCACCTCCTGCCCTCTCCCCGGGGAGAGTGTCTCCTGTGCTTCAGGGTGGGACCCTGCTATTTAGAGATGTCTGTTGCAGGAAGTCTGGGAAGTGAGTCACACAAAAGCAGCCCCAGTTAGAAGTGCTGATGGGACTTGCCTCCCACTGCCCCTGACTGTCCCAGGCCAGGAGGCGAGAGGATGAGCCAGGGATCTACTCTGTAATCTGGGGCAGGAGTTCTCCAGCCAGGCTTGTTGGGGCGAGGAAGCCGGGCCTCACCCCCAGACGTTCTGATTCAGCAGGGCTGGGTGCACTGGAATCAGTAGGTTGTCCAGTGCTCCACCTGGGAGTTCTCCTGAGGATCCCGGTGAGAGAGTCGCTTTCAGAAAAGCTGATTTGGGGGTGGGGGGGGCGGGCAGTGGCTGGGGATGACCTTCCCGCCACAGGCTCTCTAGTTAGGGGAAGAAGTTCTGCAGGTGAGGATCTTCCTTCCAGGTGAATTGGGAAACTCATCATCTGGAGAGCCACTGCAAGAGTGGGGTTGGAAGAGAGCTTCTGCACGGAGGGCTTATATTCTGACATTTAATCCTCCCACTGACCTTGCAATCGGGTTGTAGTATCTCCATTTTCCTGGTTACCCAGCCAGAAACTACAGGAAGGAGGGATTCAAATACGGACCTGATTTCTCCCCACACACCACCCCACTCAGGCGCAAGGGGAGGAGAGAGTGGGGATGAGGCTCCCTCCCATCTCCATGCAACCCTCTCAAAGTGTGACCCAAGGGTAGGCCTTGTCTTCATCTGACTCCCAGGCCATGGCGAAAGGCAGGACTCCGTCAAACTGCCTGCACCCTCCCACCTTGGAGGTCTCTAAAAATGGAAAAGAAATCCCAACCCGAGAGAAACAGGCCCTTTCTACCCAGCCACGCCTGGTGTCAGCGGGCCTGCTAATGAGACGCTGGGGAAATCTGGAGCTGGAAGCCAGCACTCAGCCTGTTGTCATCTGTCATCTGTTATCCTCGGGGCCGCCTAGTGGCCTGCCTGCGACATTGCGCCTCCAAGCTGCCCCAGCGGCGGCCTCCCGTTCCAGCTCACTCACCAGCTCTCCTTTTCCTTCCAGACCTTTCTCCTACATCAGGGCAACACTCCAAGCCAAAAAGGGCCTGCGAAGATCATACCCCCCACCTCTGCATGTGCCTGCTGCTTGACGGAGGAGAAAACCAGCACAGAGACGTTAAGCCACTCAAACACCGTGGCATGTTCACACGTGTCCCCTGGTCCCCAATCTACCCGCCCCATTCTGATGCCAGACTGGCTGGGGGACCACTGGGTCCTGCTTATGTTTCCCCTGCATGTGTCTTTAGGATGGAGGGCGGGCAGGAGGCAGACAGGAGGTTGAGGACCCCCATTAACCTCCAGGGTATCGGGCCCTTTACACATATTCTGATTTCAGAAACGAGACTGCCTGCAGAGGTGGGTGCCATCCCAGCCGTTTAATGCAGGAGGAAACAGGCACAGCATATCCAAGTGACTCACGGAAGGCCACAAGGGAGGGTCCCCTTTCCTCTCCCAGCCATCAGCTTTGGGGGGAAAGCAGAATAAAAAGGAACAAGTCAGGCAGTCCCAAAAGGGGGTGGGGATTGGCTTCTGGCTGAGAAGCAGACCCCTTTTCCTACTTGTGCTACCTTCAGGATGTGGGTTTTGGGCCTTGCCATCTCTGTGGGCCTCAGGCTTCTTCCATTATCAGCTGCTGTCACCTCCTCTGTGCCCCCCCAACCTGGTCCCCAGAAGATGAGGTTGAGGGGGCACTGGCCTGGGGGTTGTCCAGAGGGTCCCTGTGGCTTGGCTTTAGTGAGAACTGCATGGGACAGGATCCCCCACCCTTGCCCTCCCGCCTCCCCCATCCCTTGTCCTTTGCTCTTGGTACCCCTCCTCCCTTAGTTTCCTTGGGGGCAAGGGGTGGGGAATTTAACTGCAGGGCGAAGTTTGAAATTTCACATCCCAGCCCAGGGAGAGGGCCCCACAGCCAGCCACCCCCCCCAACCAAAAACAGTGAAAGGAGCCTTTGTGGGTTTGATGGAGTGGGGGGTGAGCTGTAGCCTGGAGAACTAACTTTTTCCATGACTCAGCTCTCCTGGTGCAGGGCGGGCACAGGAGGTGCAAAGACCCAGCTGGGCAGTTCTAGAGCTGCCTTCCAGCCCAGAGCTAGCCGGGCATCAGGGTTAGAGGTGGGCCCCCAGGAGAGCCTCCCCTGCAACTAGCAGGGAAACTTGCTGGCCTTGGGTAGGCCACCAGCCTGTAAATGTGTCTCTCCCCTCTCCCCCACTGGGTCCCGTATTCTTTACTTACTATTGCAGCCCCGGTGCCAAGCACTCGAATGTTCATGGCTTGTTGCTTATCACCATCTCAGCGGAGAGCTGGAAAGATAAACGGGCATCAAGTGTTGACTTTTATTTATGAGGCTCAGAGAAGTCAAGAAAGTCACCCAAGATCACACAGCTAAGAGATGGAGATAGGATTTGAACCCCTGGTCGAATGCCAAGTTCTGTCTCCTTTATCCATGGACGTCTCTCACAACGTGTAGGATCACCTGGGCGCTTGTCAAAATGCAGATTCCTGGGCTGCCAGCCTAGACTACTAGAACCAGCATCCTAGGGTGGGGGCCCATAGTGTGCATGCAGGCCAGGCAGGAGATTGTTGGGCACCCAATGTTTGAGAACACCCAGTGCTGCCTGTCTGCGGCCCCTTGCTACTTCCGGCCCCTGCAGGAGGAAGTTTCCCTTGGTTTTACGCTCCTGGGCAAGCCCTTCTTTCCTTTGCCCTTAGGGTCTATCAGGGCACTGAGCCCTCAGTCCTGGGCTGTTCTGGGTTGGTGGCTCTCTGCAGCTCTACAGATACCTAACAGGGGAGAAAACAGAAGCTGGAGGAGCAGAGGTACGTACACTCACCCATTCAGTCCATCCTGCAGCCAACCCACCCTGGTGGGGTCCTCTCCCTGGGCTGCCCCGGATGGGCCCGGAGGCTTGCGGGGTAGTGAGGCGTGCTGGGTCAGAGAGGAGCAGAGCCTGGCAGCTCTGGTTCAAGTCCCAGCTCTGCAAGCCCCTTCTCCGCAGCTTCCTCATTTGTAAAGGGTGGATAACAATGAAGATAGATTTAGCTACTCAGAAAATCCCTTACCAGGAGCTCAGTGAGTACCAGCTCTTGTTTTTATGGTGGCATGGTCCCTGCTTGTCAGGCCCTTTCCATCTTGCTGGGGAGCCAGTTTGGCCCCATGCAGAGAGATACGGGGCTTATGTTTTGCAGCGTTCTTGGACCGCCCTGGAGCAGGGCTCCTGAAACACCTCGCCAGGCTGGGCAATTTCCCTCATTTCCTCCCGTCACCTTCTACCCCCACAACCCCCCCCCCCCCCGCCCCAACATACTTTCTCTAGGACCTTTTCTCTCTGGCCAAGGAAACACCTCTTCGTTTTGCAATGTTTCCTTTAGCTCCTATGCTACTTTTTTCCCCCCTAGGAAACTTCCTAGCTGCCTCCTCCAGTCCCCAGTGTCTTCACTGCAGCCAAAGATGGCCCCAGGGTCCCTTCACTTGACCCCAGGGTTTCCCTCCCTCCCAGCACACTCACACTGCGCTGTAACTGGTTCCACATGGGACTCTCACACCAGACTGGGAGCTTCTCAGGGGTAGAGGTTGGACTGCCTAGGTGGGCGTGCGACCCACGCAGTGGTGCTGGACCCCTGTGCGCGTTAATGCTCTGCTGTCACCATCTTGAAATTGATCATTTTTTACTTGTGTGTTTTGTAAGTAAAGTCAGACCTGCTCTCCCCCAATGAAGAAACTGAGTCTCTAACACTAAGCCTCAGGAACAAAGGTAGTGAAAGATTTCATACATATATTCATTGATTCATTCATTCATTCATTCACCAGCTGTTTATTGAGCAGTCACTGGGTGCCAGGCCTTGTTCTAGATGGTGGAGAGACAGTAGTGAGAAGGACAGCAAGGTCCCTGCCCTCATGGGGCGGGCATTACTGCCTCGCTGGGAGGTGAAGAGAGGAAGGATGTAGGGGAGATGTTCCCGCTGCAGGGTCCAGAGCAGCCTGCAAGGAACCGGGAGTGGATGCGGTGATAACTTGATGCGTGCTCACATGCGCGTGCGCGCACACACACACACACACACCCGCGTGCGTGCTTGCTTCATTTGACCATTGGCAACTTTGCCCTGAGCAGAACAAGCTAGCAGTGTTGAATGAGGGGGTTGGATTTAGAAAACCTCGTGGTCTAGTGGAAACCAGTGTTTCGTGAAGTTTACGATGGGCTGCCATGTGTGTGTGTGTGGGGGGGCATCTATGTGGAGATGGACACCTGGGGAG